GGGTAAGATTAGCTATAACGTAATTATCTTAATCTTCACTATCGTTACTTTTTGCCCAGCGAAGCGGGTCCTTGCAGCTAGATTCTAGATTACTTACAAAAACAGCCTTTTATATATAAAAAAAAAAAAACTATATTACATACAAATAATAACCCAGCGAAGCGAAATCTTGCAGCTAGTATATATATAAAAATGGACATGTATGTCCCTATATTTTACTTTTTTCGCCAAAACTACACATCGTACGTGAATGGTGTTTGTATGTGGTGGTAGCCCCAAGTCTCCATTCGTGCATAGGGGTGGTTGCGTCTCGATAGCTATAAGGGTGCGGGAGATATGAGGCTGAAAGTGGTTGNTTCATGACGCACCCTAACTGTGTACCAAATTTCACCTCTTTAGGTTCAGCGGTTTGCTCTGGGCGATGATGAATCAGTCATTCAGTCAGTCAGTCAGAACAAGTAATATTATATATTTAGATAGGTTAGCGTTACTTTTTAATTTGCATAAAATAATTTTAAAAATTTTATACAGATTGTGAATTTTATGAAAAGATTTGGGAAGACGTCTTTATGTTTATCTATCAACGGTTTCTTCGATGTTACGAAGTTTCCTGTTAAGGTATGCGAGTCAATTAACTTTTTCAATATATTAATTCATTATTATGTATATATAAATTTGAATTTGCAGATGTCTAGCGCTCTGAANCGGTTGGGTGAGATGCCTGTTTTGCCTGTTTGTAGAAAAGGGTCGCCATTCTGTATTTTATTTTGACTCGCAAATATTATTTTTATTTTTTTATAATTTTATAAACAAGACATAGTCTTGTTTATAAAATTATTAACTCAGGTGTCCTTGAAACGTCGAGAAATAAAAAAAATTAGATGGTTTTCTCTGCATGCCATATGCGTATGCGTGTATGTGATGGGCACGATATTTTGCAAGCAGATATGTTTATTAGGAGGATTGACGCGATTAAATTTTGGTGGGTAAAGGTCAAGGGGGTGGGAATATAAAGGGGGTCGTGTATATCTCCAGTAGGGTCGGACTTAATGACAATTACTCGTTATTAGCACTTACAGTGTTTTTTTTTTATAAAAGCCAGAATTAAGTTTTCTGCCATTTTATAGTGATTGGGCTATAATTTAAAAAAACTGTAGATCTATAAATTCCTACTGCCGTCCGTCTGTACCTTTACTTAATCTCGAGAATGGTGTTAGATAAATGAAATTAAAGATCAGATATGGAAAGTTTAGGGGCAGAATGTTTCGATTATATAAACTTCCGAAAGAAAGCGAACTGACGTTATTTAAATTAAAAATTTTTCTCTTGAAAGGAGTTAGATAGATAATCTGCACGACTTGTTGCTGGATTTTTCTATTATGATTAATTTAACTAAAATTTAAAAAATTATCGATAAATATTATTTATAATCTCGTGATATTTGTAGTTATTCACAATTTTTAATGAGGAGTAACACAAAATATGGTATTTCAACGACACAATATCACCAAAATAATAATATTGTAAAAAGATATTTTAAAAATTTTAAATGTATTATATTAAAAACACTGAAAATAAATTATTTTTCTGCCGATATAAAATTTGTTTGACATTTATTCATGAACATTATTTTNCGATTTTATAAACAAGACATAGTCTTGTTTATAAAATTATTAACTCAGGTGTCCTTGAAACGTCGAGAAATAAAAAAAAATTAGATGGTTTTCTCTGCATGCCATATGCGTATGCGTGTATGTGATGGGCACGATATTTTGCAAGCAGCTTTGTTTATTAGGAGGATTGACGCGATTAAATTTTGGTGGGTAAAGGTCAAGGGGGTGGGAATATAAAGGGGGTCGTGTATATTTCCAGTAGGGTCGGACTTAATGACAATTACTCGTTATTAGCACTTACAGTGTTTTATAAAAGCCATACCTATTTCCAGAATTAAGTTTTCTGCCATTTTATAGTGATTGGGCTATAATTTAAAAAAACTGTAGATCTATAAATTCCTACTGCCGTCCGTCTGTACCTTTACTTAATCTCGAGAATGGTGTTAGATAAATGAAATTAAAGATCAGATATGGAAAGTTTAGGGGCAGAATGTTTCGATTATATAAACTTCCGAAAGAAAGCGAACTGACGTTATTTAAATTAAAAATTTTTCTCTTGAAAGGAGTTAGATAGATAATCTGCACGACTTGTTGCTGGATTTTTCTATTATGATTAATTTAACTAAAATTTAAAAAATTATCGATAAATATTATTTATAATCTCGTGATATTTGTAGTTATTCACAATTTTTAATGAGGAGTAACACAAAATATGGTATTTCAACGACACAATATCACCAAAATAATAATATTGTAAAAAGATATTTTAAAAATTTTAAATGTATTATATTAAAAACACTGAAAATAAATTATTTTTCTGCCGATATAAAATTTGTTTGACATTTATTCATGAACATTATTTTTCTAATTGAACAAATTAAATATATATAATTTTTATTGTTTTTTTATTTCTCAAGAATTATTATCAATAACTAGTTGGAATATTCCACAAAATACATTTACTTTCGACCTAAAGCAGGCCTGCATTTTCCACTACTTCCTCTGGTTGGTTCATTGTCTGGCAGACCATAGCAATAGCACGAAAGTTTGCCCCAATAACAATATCCACTCTTAGCTTTCTTTTTCTTGCAGAGATCATCGCAGTACTCATCCCGCAGGCATTCGTATTTGCAGTTTCCTCCTTTATCTGGATATCCATCTTTCAAACCGTCTACACCTAAATAAACAAAGAAATCAAATTTAATATATAAATATAAGAAAGATTCCGTATCAAAACACATCTTTTAATATCTAATTTCATATATATTTACATATAGTGAAGTTTTTCCGAATGTAGAGTAACGAGTTTCAGAAATATAGGCTACATGATTTTAGAGAAATTAGTCTACACTTTATTTAAAATAAAAAAAAAACCTGTAATATTTTTAAATCTGTAAAATTTATTTACAGTGTAAGCAAATATATCTCCAAGTATTAGTAGACTAGAAGATTTATACAAGCAATTAATTTAATTTTAATTTATATAGATGAAATATTTAATATCTTTTTCAATACTGTTTATTTGAGATTGAATTGTATATTGTTCTTATTGATTATAGAGGAGTCAGTGAGTTCATATATTTGAAAAACTTACCCAAAACCAATATATACGAAACGGCAATTAATATGAGACAATTCATTCTAATATTCTGGAGTTACTTCAGACAATATTTGCATCACTCAGATAAAAGCTTTGCTATTTATATATTATTCAATTATACGTATAATTGCTATACGTATAATAAATGTTTATAGTCAAAATATTTTTGACTATAAACATCAGTTTAATAAATATTTTTATCTAATGCCATTTATTTGCGAAGTTTTATGATTAAAACAACTGGTATTTTAATGAGATAATGCAAACCATAGTTTTGAAACAAAATATAACTTTTGTTTATTTACTAATTGAAATTTTTAAAATAATTCATCATAATATAATTTAATTTATATGCAATTCCCTTTGTAAATAAAGAAAAAATGTTATTTTAAAATTTAATGACAGTATTGGCTGATTCAAATAAACTTTTATGATAGATATTTAATCGCCAAATAACCGGATTTTATAGATAATAAGCAAATGTTAAATAGTCAAAAAGGTTTAATGATTATTTTCATCTGGCATTTATACTAAAAGAATGAAATATTCATATTTCGAAAGAGTAATTATTAAAAAGTTCTGATCATTTGTTCGTTCCTAGCAGATCTTAGTTTATAGCCAATAAAGATCCTCGTTAATAATATAATTCTGTATGCGTTTCCAAAACAACACATGTGTTGGAATAAAGAAATAGTTAATTAAATTATTTTGAGAGAGAGCTTTGTGAAATGACTCAGTTTAAAGTACTATACATTTCCCTATAAATGAACAAAACCTCAATTAAGTTTAAAATTCTGTTTTGAATCTCATTCCAATGGTCACATAAAGCTTAAATAACAATTAAAGGAACATACAAACGTAGAGCGACTATATCGATTCTGTAATCATTCATTATTTTTAGTAAAGAATAAACAAAGAATTAAACTTAAACTATAAATGCATGCAAGACAAAAATCTCTAATTGATCAATTAAATAATGTAGTATAATTTCCAAAATATAGATTTATTATCATTAAATTATCATTCATTATAATAATTCATTAAATTAGTAGTCAAGTTCAAAAATCACTTAGTTCACAATTCACAAACGTTTATATTAACGATTAAAACTTACATACAGTTACGAAGTTAACAAAAATAAAACAATTACAATAATTCAGATATAGTAAAGTTCAAATATCAATTAAACCACAACAACAGGTCTGTCGAAAAGGACTCCTTGCGACGAATTCCTCGGAACAGTCAGTAACAAGTTGGCAAGACGAAGCAACTTCTTCAGCAAGTTCGCTGATTTAATTAATGGAGTTCAGATGCACTCCGACGTACTTTGATGACGTCTGAACAACTTGAGTTCCCTTACCAGGTCCTAGGAGAACTGAAATTCCCGCCTAAATTCACTCCTTTTCTTTCTTTCTTTCTTGTCTTATTAATATGGACACTCTAGCCTGTTGGCTTTTTCTCCGAATTACTCCGCTTAGAATTTAATAAAGCGGTTGGAGCGGTGAACAAAACGCTCCAAGATTTCGATATGTTGCGAGGAGGAAGGTCGGTATGAGGCCAGTATTTTGGAGTTAATGTACGGACGATCGTGAGGTCCAAGGTTAAGAGGCGGCCTAACTCTTGGCGGGCCCGTGTGTATTGCGGGCAGACCAGCCAGTGGACGAAAGTTTCTGGCGACCCACAATGGGGGCAATCTGGCGAGGAGCATTGGCGTCGAGAATAGAGGAAGTTGTTCAAGGGGGCCGTATCGGTTCGAAGTCTAGCCAATAGGGTTTCTGTATGGCGAGACGAGGCGTGATGGTATATCCAAGAGACGAAAGGTGGGAGATGGTCGCGATCTTTTCCCCGAAGAATAGTAGACCAGATATCTGTGTAGTTGCGGATGATCGATTCCCGCATTTGACGTATGAGGTCACGTGCCATGAGAGGTCTCCACCAGGAGCCGATGGGAGTGTCATGACTAGCGGCTTGGTCTGCCGTTTCATTTATGTGAATGCCAACGTAACCAGGCGTCCACCCGATTTCAAGAGGTGTTGGGTGGTAGCTGATAGTTGCAGCTAGTTCAATAATAACCGCTAGAGAGGAAAAATTAACGTTGGCGACTGCCTGGAGAACTGATTTGCCATCTGAGACGATGGCCGTCGGAATGTTAAGACGGGCGCTGAGATTAACTGCCCGTTGGATGCCGAGAGCCTCTGCACCGAAGACGCTGCAGCTCGTGTGTAGCGACCAAGTTTCCTTGACCGTTTGAGCAGGAAGAACCACTCCGAAAGCCGTCCGTAGATATGATTTTGAGGCATCTGTCCCAATGAGAGTCCAACCCCGCCAGTTGGTAGAATGTAGAGCATTCAAGGCTGCCGGAGGTTGGATGGAAGTATTTGGAAAGTCGTCTAGACAAGTGGTTCCCAATTAGTTTTTCCTGTGTACCACTTCAAGAAAGAGCTCAAACTCGCGTACCCCTTATAGCAGAAATTCATATTAATCCATACAAATATTATAAATACGAAGGTAATTCTGTCTGTTACCTTTTCACGTCTAAAACGCCGAACAGGTTTTAATAAAATTTGGCACAGAAATAGCTTACATGTTGAAGATGGACATAGGCTACATTTTACTATGAGAAAATATTTTACTCCCACGAGAAAATTCGATATAATGTGGGCGAAGCTGTGGGTAGACAGCTAGTGATAAATAGAATAAGTATTTTTTTTACATTTATTACCTTTAAAATACAATTCTAATAATAATGAAAATAACATAAGGTTATTTAATTTTAATGTGACAAATATGCACAATTTTCTTTGCACAACTTTGTAAAATCTGGTTGCTTTTTGGTCAGCTTCAGTCTGAAGTCATCTTCGAGTTGAAGTCCGTGACGTCGGTGACGATCATTGGAGTAGCCAGAGTTTTGTTATGGGGGCCTAGTAGAGGCCAGCCTGACACAAAATTGAATTATTTTAAATTATTGTTTATTAAAATGAAATTTCCATAGGAATCGACAATAATTTAACACACATGAAAACTAAATCGACAATAATTTAACACACATGAAAACTAAATCGACAATAATTTAACACACATGAAAACTAAATCGACAATAATTTAACACACATGAAAACTAAATCGACAATAATTTAACACACATGAAAACTAAATCGACAATAATTTAACACACATGAAAACTAAATCGACAATAATTTAACACACATGAAAACTAAATCGACAATAATTTAACACACATGAAAACTAAATCGACAATAATTTAACACACATGAAAACTAAATCGACAATAATTTAACACACATGAAAACTAAATCGACAATAATTTAACACACATGAAAACTAAATCGACAATAATTTAACACACATGAAAACTAAATCGACAATAATTTAACACACATGAAAACTAAATCGACAATAATTTAACACACATGAAAACTAAATCGACAATAATTTAACACACATGAAAACTAAATCGACAATAATTTAACACACATGAAAACTAAATCGACAATAATTTAACACACATGAAAACTAAATCGACAATAATTTAACACACATGAAAACTAAATCGACAATAATTTAACACACATGAAAACTAAATCGACAATAATTTAACACACATGAAAACTAAATCGACAATAATTTAACACACATGAAAACTAAATCGACAATAATTTAACACACATGAAAACTAAATCGACAATAATTTAACACACATGAAAACTAAATCGACAATAATTTAACACACATGAAAACTAAATCGACAATAATTTAACACACATGAAAACTAAATCGACAATAATTTAACACACATGAAAACTAAATCGACAATAATTTAACACACATGAAAACTAAATCGACAATAATTTAACACACATGAAAACTAAATCGACAATAATTTAACACACATGAAAACTAAATCGACAATAATTTAACACACATGAAAACTAAATCGACAATAATTTAACACACATGAAAACTAAATCGACAATAATTTAACACACATGAAAACTAAATCGACAATAATTTAACACACATGAAAACTAAATCGACAATAATTTAACACACATGAAAACTAAATCGACAATAATTTAACACACATGAAAACTAAATCGACAATAATTTAACACACATGAAAACTAAATCGACAATAATTTAACACACATGAAAACTAAATCGACAATAATTTAACACACATGAAAACTAAATCGACAATAATTTAACACACATGAAAACTAAATCGACAATAATTTAACACACATGAAAACTAAATCGACAATAATTTAACACACATGAAAACTAAATCGACAATAATTTAACACACATGAAAACTAAATCGACAATAATTTAACACACATGAAAACTAAATCGACAATAATTTAACACACATGAAAACTAAATCGACAATAATTTAACACACATGAAAACTAAATCGACAATAATTTAACACACATGAAAACTAAATCGACAATAATTTAACACACATGAAAACTAAATCGACAATAATTTAACACACATGAAAACTAAATCGACAATAATTTAACACACATGAAAACTAAATCGACAATAATTTAACACACATGAAAACTAAATCGACAATAATTTAACACACATGAAAACTAAATCGACAATAATTTAACACACATGAAAACTAAATCGACAATAATTTAACACACATGAAAACTAAATCGACAATAATTTAACACACATGAAAACTAAATCGACAATAATTTAACACACATGAAAACTAAATCGACAATAATTTAACACACATGAAAACTAAATCGACAATAATTTAACACACATGAAAACTAAATCGACAATAATTTAACACACATGAAAACTAAATCGACAATAATTTAACACACATGAAAACTAAATCGACAATAATTTAACACACATGAAAACTAAATCGACAATAATTTAACACACATGAAAACTAAATCGACAATAATTTAACACACATGAAAACTAAATCGACAATAATTTAACACACATGAAAACTAAATCGACAATAATTTAACACACATGAAAACTAAATCGACAATAATTTAACACACATGAAAACTAAATCGACAATAATTTAACACACATGAAAACTAAATCGACAATAATTTAACACACATGAAAACTAAATCGACAATAATTTAACACACATGAAAACTAAATCGACAATAATTTAACACACATGAAAACTAAATCGACAATAATTTAACACACATGAAAACTAAATCGACAATAATTTAACACACATGAAAACTAAATCGACAATAATTTAACACACATGAAAACTAAATCGACAATAATTTAACACACATGAAAACTAAATCGACAATAATTTAACACACATGAAAACTAAATCGACAATAATTTAACACACATGAAAACTAAATCGACAATAATTTAACACACATGAAAACTAAATCGACAATAATTTAACACACATGAAAACTAAATCGACAATAATTTAACACACATGAAAACTAAATCGACAATAATTTAACACACATGAAAACTAAATCGACAATAATTTAACACACATGAAAACTAAATCGACAATAATTTAACACACATGAAAACTAAATCGACAATAATTTAACACACATGAAAACTAAATCGACAATAATTTAACACACATGAAAACTAAATCGACAATAATTTAACACACATGAAAACTAAATCGACAATAATTTAACACACATGAAAACTAAATCGACAATAATTTAACACACATGAAAACTAAATCGACAATAATTTAACACACATGAAAACTAAATCGACAATAATTTAACACACATGAAAACTAAATCGACAATAATTTAACACACATGAAAACTAAATCGACAATAATTTAACACACATGAAAACTAAATCGACAATAATTTAACACACATGAAAACTAAATCGACAATAATTTAACACACATGAAAACTAAATCGACAATAATTTAACACACATGAAAACTAAATCGACAATAATTTAACACACATGAAAACTAAATCGACAATAATTTAACACACATGAAAACTAAATCGACAATAATTTAACACACATGAAAACTAAATCGACAATAATTTAACACACATGAAAACTAAATCGACAATAATTTAACACACATGAAAACTAAATCGACAATAATTTAACACACATGAAAACTAAATCGACAATAATTTAACACACATGAAAACTAAATCGACAATAATTTAACACACATGAAAACTAAATCGACAATAATTTAACACACATGAAAACTAAATCGACAATAATTTAACACACATGAAAACTAAATCGACAATAATTTAACACACATGAAAACTAAATCGACAATAATTTAACACACATGAAAACTAAATCGACAATAATTTAACACACATGAAAACTAAATCGACAATAATTTAACACACATGAAAACTAAATCGACAATAATTTAACACACATGAAAACTAAATCGACAATAATTTAACACACATGAAAACTAAATCGACAATAATTTAACACACATGAAAACTAAATCGACAATAATTTAACACACATGAAAACTAAATCGACAATAATTTAACACACATGAAAACTAAATCGACAATAATTTAACACACATGAAAACTAAATCGACAATAATTTAACACACATGAAAACTAAATCGACAATAATTTAACACACATGAAAACTAAATCGACAATAATTTAACACACATGAAAACTAAATCGACAATAATTTAACACACATGAAAACTAAATCGACAATAATTTAACACACATGAAAACTAAATCGACAATAATTTAACACACATGAAAACTAAATCGACAATAATTTAACACACATGAAAACTAAATCGACAATAATTTAACACACATGAAAACTAAATCGACAATAATTTAACACACATGAAAACTAAATCGACAATAATTTAACACACATGAAAACTAAATCGACAATAATTTAACACACATGAAAACTAAATCGACAATAATTTAACACACATGAAAACTAAATCGACAATAATTTAACACACATGAAAACTAAATCGACAATAATTTAACACACATGAAAACTAAATCGACAATAATTTAACACACATGAAAACTAAATCGACAATAATTTAACACACATGAAAACTAAATCGACAATAATTTAACACACATGAAAACTAAATCGACAATAATTTAACACACATGAAAACTAAATCGACAATAATTTAACACACATGAAAACTAAATCGACAATAATTTAACACACANTTATAAATTGTGAATACATGTGACTAATATTATTTTCTTTTTTATTTTGTGCATGTTACAAGTTATAAATAAATATAAACAAACAACACTAACTCGATAACATTAAATCTAAATACCAAAATGATTAATTTACTGTGTTTTTGTTATTT